CCCCCCCCCCCCCCCCCACGCCCACGGTGCCCGAACGAAGTTCGAGGTGTCCTCGGCCGACGGCTCGGTTTTCATTGCGGACGGACGGGGCTCCGCTGGTGACGGAGTGTTTTGCGTCCCCTCCAAGCACGGGGACTGCGTGTACTACATCGCCGTGACCGCGGGGGGAGCAGACGAGCCGGCGATGCAGCTAACAGCCACCGCCGACGTTCCCACGGGGGTTTCCTTGGTAAGAGCGTTTTGTGTCTCTCGTTTTTTTCTCGTGCCACTTTTTTTTCCTACGCAAATCTGTTCTCTCCCTCGGCCATGACTCTGGTAGAGGCGGCATCGATCGACTTGGAGGGCTTAGCCATATCTCCCTGAGGACCCCCACGTCTCCCTCCTGCGGTACGACGTGTCTTTAGTTTTGTCAGCAAGGGCACTTCTCCTGTTTCTCGCAATCCACAGGTCAAAACTTGGTGCAAGGAGGCGGTTCAGTTTTCTCTCAAAGTTTCATTTGATAACGATCACTTACGCGTCCTGCCTTTATCCAGGAAGAACCCCGGTATGGGTAAGACTTCCTCTGCTGCGCTGCATGCCTTCCTTGCATTTTGACGCGGTTTTTCGGTACCTTGTATCAACATGAGTCAAAACAGAAAACTCCGAGTAGCACCTGAAAAAAAAAGACTCTTCGGGCGTTCCTAGAGGGCCGCGGGGCTGCAGGGGTTGGTTGCTGGTCGCCGTAAGGGTGTACATGCCGCTGTTGCCAAAAAACTGGCGAGTTTTTTTATCGCTTTCAATGGTGTACATGCCGCGATTGCCAAAACTGCTACTTCATGTTTGATGGTACATATTATCTTGCTTCCCCCCCTGCTTTGCTCGGAATTTCCACCGCTTTTGTGTCGGGATAACTGCAGTGTTCGCAAGCAAAAGGATGGAGTGGTTGTTGTTGAGTTCGATTCGGAACAGCTGTTCGTACCGTGCTTCCCAGTACGTGTCGCACTCGTCCAACAAATCAGACGAGAGATGTCTCGTTCCGATGGTCCTAGACTTGACGCAACGAACAAGACCGGAAAAAGGGTGGGACTCATGAATGCTCAGGACCGAAGTTTCGACCTTCACGCACCGGCCAAGGATTTTCGTCCAGTCAGAAAGTGACAACAATGAACTTGACCGATGGAAAATCTGCGGGCAACCTGATGGTTTTCTCGCGATGTGCTTGAAGGCTCACTGGATCCGCTTGGAATAGCTCCGAGCTCTATGTCTGTCACTGCCTTGATTTGAGGTCGCATCGGATTGGGCTTTAGTTGCGAGCGCCAGTTTGAAGCCGTGAATGATTCTTGGCGCTCCACCACTTACCCACCAGCCATATTTATTGATGCGCACAATTCTATGTGAAAAAACAGGTGGTTCCGTGTATCGGAGACTCGAGTCTCCCGGACGGTATGATCGTGAATCCCGCCAACCGCGTGCCGCTGTCGGGTATGAAGCTGTACGAGCTCTGCTCCAAGGGAGAGGTGGACTTTCAGGTAGGTGCTATTGAGGCCTCTCAGCCCTGTCTCCGCAATCATCCCTTTCAAGCGGCAACCACCGCATGTGCACCCTCCTTGTCTCCTTGTGCTGGTCGATGCATGTCTCCGTGGGCCCTTTGTTCCTTTCGCCGAGACTATCGTAGTACTACCCATAACGTGTTTTGTACATGTAGACTGAACCAAGTGGCTTGCCGAATGTTTCGTACACAAGCGAGAACTGTTGATTGTTATTTGCCCCCATTGAATCAGATGCGCTCTCTCTCTATGGAGGCTTGATTGTTGTCGCATTCAATGGCTTCCGTTGTATGTCTTGGTCGAGAAAAGGGGGCCCTTCGAGGCGTTTAAGGGTCCCGTGGACGTTCGCACGCATATGACAGAATTGTGCGTGTTTTCTTGGCCGATCCAGATGTTTTGTCGGTTTTGATTCCAATCGAGAGTACCCGTGTACCCCCGCAAACGAGCTCGTTTGCTTGTTCAGGTCTCGATTTATCTTATTCGACTTACGCCCTCAAGCACCCAACCCTAACATCGCCGTGAAATAGTAAGTGTCCTGCAATTCCCTCGATATGATGGCATATTTTTTCCTTCATTTTTCCCTCGTGGTGATGAACGCAGGTGTCCGTCGAGTCTTGCAGAGGCGAAGTGGAGCTCTTCGTATGCGACGACACGTGTCCAGGTCTCTACCCCTCCAAGAAGGTGCGTTGTCTCGAACATCTCGTTAGGGTTAGGGTTAGGGTCTAGCATCTCGTTATGATCCTCGACACCAAGCGGTTTTCGTCGCTTTTGTGCGAATATTCCGCGGGGAATCGGAACCTTGCAGAGTAGATAGAGACTCGCTCGAGAATGAGATGGTAAATAACAAATGGCATGCGTGCAAACTACCCTTGTTCGATAAATTAGAAGGGGTTGAAAAAACGATGACATTTTGTAGTGGCGCCACAACAAACCCCCACAAGGAAGGAGATAAGATGTAAAAGATGTCGGGAGTGGAACATATGGCAGAAACATCAAGAGGGCCGGGGGTACGGCGGAAGCACGAAGAAGTAGTCGGCTTTTGGTAGCGCCCGAAATCGTGCTGCTGCCCTTTGTGTTCGAACGGTCCCATGACTTCGACAATCCTCGAACGAGAACGCTCCCACCGTCCGTCCCCCCTCCGGTAGCCCGGCGAACGCATGGTGTATACGTACATGTCCGATGGCAAGATGGTCTGCACGAAACACCAGCAGGATACGCAGTGCCATACACCATCCGGTAGTGATCGCAACAAAGAGGTCTCCGTCACGGTGGAGGCGGGACATCCGGAGGAAGGGACGATAACGACGCGGTCGTCGACGTACTTCGTGGGCGTGGGCATGCGCCCGGGGCAAAGGGCAGAGGACCAGGAGCACCTGCTGAGGGTGAGGGCGGGGGGGGGAGAAGCCTGTTGCTGTTCGTGTTGGTGCTGTTGTTTTAGTCGTTGTCGTCATTTTCGGCCGTTGGTGCTGTTTGGAGGGCGGGAACAAGGTCGGGGAAGGGATTCTTTTGACGAGGAGTAAAACTACACAAGTGAGAGTGACGAAACAAGGATGTAATGCGGGAGACGAGAAGCTGGCCTGGAATCGAGATGGTGGGAGAAAGAATTTTGTTTTTTTCTTCTTTCTTGTCGAACTCGGGTGTGTGTCTCGTCCGCATCTCCAAAACTAACCGCAGGTTAAGGTCATGGGAGAGGAAGGGGTGCCAGTATCTCCGTCCCTGTCTGCGAAGTTCCTGCCGTCTGGGTCGGACGCGTCGCGTGCCGTGGTCGGCGGGAGAGAGGCTACGGTGGAGTGGTGAGTCTTGTTAGCTTGGTGTGCTCACACCGCGGGTACATCGGGAGAAAGGCTGTTATTCGTCGGATCCCGCGATGTTTAGTGGGGGCGTCTCAGTGCCAATTGGTCTCCGTGCTTGCCTTGTTTTTTGGAGTGCACAATTGTTCGTTTTTATGGGGACATCGAAGGGTTAGGAGTTAAACTCCTGACAATCTGTGACGACGCATGTCATCAACATCGAGCGACAAGAGTGTGTGAAACATAGCACTCCCGTTACCACATCAACAACGGCGTTTGTATCGTAGTGCGATTTTTTTATAACATTACAACACGATCTGCATCTATGCGCCGATGATCGCAGGGGAGGAGCAACCCTGCACACGCCCAAGTTGAGCGGACGTCACCCACATGAGGCGGAGGACCGCGACTGCGGAATTTACTGTTCGTACGAGGTGTACGCCGTGCCGACAAGGTGAGGCACCTCGAGGTGTAGTGCCCCCCGACCCCCCTCCCGCCGGGTTTCCCATGGCACATCTGGTCTGGCACAGCACTCGCAAGGATGATGAATGACCAGCTTCTGGACCATCCTTGTGAAACGTAGCCTGGCCCGGCGAAAATTCTGCATATCCTACGGAATGCGTTTACACTACGGAATGCGTTTACATTAGGTACACCCTCCGTCCCCCGCCGCCGGGTTATCTTTAGTTGAATACCTTTTGCAATAGTTCTCGTCCCAGGTGTGGGTTTACTGTAGCACAACAAGCCACGAACGTGTGCAGCTTTGCAAAGCCTGGTGTCGTGTGGTCCAGGGTAGCACAATGACGAGTTTTTTTTGCAATCAGTATCGCGATCCTCGAGGATGGATTCCATCCTGGCCACATACTTCTCCAGGTGGGCATAAATGCCGGAGGAAATAGTACAGAGGGACAAGGTGATCGATCAGTTTCTCCAAAACCTTGACCAGCTAACAGATCAGCGCAGCCTGAACGCCCCGGAAGCCACGAGGGAATTTACCCAAGCTATCCTTGAAGCAGCGCGGTCAGTGCTGCCGGCAGGGACCCGGATACCATGCATGCCGGAGTGGTGCCAGAGCCCAGAAACGACAACAGCAGTCGTGGAAGCCCTTGCCGAGCGAAGGAAAGCACGCCGGGAGATGAGTATCGACCAAATCCAGCAACATGGGAAGCATTCCAAGGCAGTATGTACAGCAGTCGACGACGGCATTTATGCCCACTTGGAGAAGCATGTGGCTGGGATGGAATCCATTCTCGAGGATCGCGACATGTGGGGACTGTACAAACACCTCAAGAGCTCGGTAGGCCTAGACGGGAAACAGACAGGGGAACAACAGCCAGTCAAAGATGAGAATGGTGTCATGCCGAGGAGAAGGATGAGATTCTTCCAACGGTGGGTGAGGTTCTTCGGCTCTCTACTCAACGCTAAATCCCGCACGTTGAACCCATCCATCATGGGGGAGGTGACGCAACAACCGAAGGTACCAACCACTGAGTGCTCGCAACACCTGGAGTCCGCACCAACCCTGGAGGAGACTCGGAGAGTAGCACGGGGGATGAAAAACTGGAAAGCGCCTTGTTCATGATTCCCCGCCGGTAGAACTACTCAACATCGACAACGTTGAAGAGCCCATGGTGATCAAACGCTTCCACGCCATCCTCATCAAAGTGTGAAACGGGAGGAGGTCCCGCAGGAATGGAAAGATGCCACCATCAAAAGGTACTCTACAAGAAGGCGGACCGATCCAAGTGGAACAACTAGAGGGGGATATATCCTATCCCTTCTATCGCATGGGGATCAGGTGCTCCTGAAAAACGTCGCTAACCGTCTCAGTGACTACTGCGAGGATCACGACATCTTGCCGGAAGAACAGTGCGGCTTCTGACCTGGTAGGTCCACCGTCAACATGGTGTTTGTCGTACGACGACTGCAGGAGCTGGCACGGAGGCGGAGTATTCCGCTGCACATGTGCTTCGTCGACCCCCAGAAGGCCTATGACGCAGTCGACCGGGAGCTGCTGTGACCAGTGCTGGCCCGAGCGGGGATCCCGTAGGAAATGATCGCGGTCGTCCGCCAGTTCTACGGTGGCATGCAAGCTCAGGTATGCATGGACGACGGGGAGCTCTCTGACTGGTTCGAGGTCACCCAGGGACTGCGACCACGATGTGTTCTGTCACCACTGTTGCTTAACATCTTCTTCGAGGCAGCGCTCGAGGTAGCTCTGGTATGATTCAGCAAAGACAACGTTATCCTCAGGAATCTGGTATACCTCCAGGAGGAGACTGGGACGAGGGTAATGACACCGCTGGGACAAGTTCGGAAGGCGGTGTGGGGTATGCTGTACACCGACGACGCTGGGGTCGCATCGATATCGGGCGAAGGCCTGGGATGATGAACCATTGTCGTGGAAGTGTTTGGAGCATTCGGACTGACAGTGTCGGAGAAATAGACAGAGACCCTCCTGATAAAGGTACCGGACAAAACACGAAGAAGGGAGCGCCGCCACCGCATCCCCACCACCTGCGGCACCGCTGATGATCGAAGCAACGGGACAGCAGTACGCCCAGACAGCGGAGTTCCGATATCTGGGTAGTCGGGTCAGAGAAGATGATGAACGCACGCAGGAGATCAACCAACGGAGCAGAGCAGCGTGGCCGTGCCACCCGGGAGCTCTTCGACGGGCCGACAGCACCGTGGGGACTAACCGGCTTCTAAAAGTGGAAGCGACGGAGGCCCTGCTGTAGGTATGCATGGCGTGGGCCCCGCGCCGCAAGCACTACGACCTGCTGACGGGTACACACTACGGTGCTATTTATGAATTATCCGCTCCCGCCGCACGCGCGGCCAATTTCGGTAGCTCTCATACGCCCAAGCCCTCAAAAAGGCCAAAACGTGGAGGCTACTGTCCGACTACGGCGACTACTGTTTACGAGGGCATTGGCCAGTCAACCGGTCGGGCGACTCCCGAAGCGATTGATGTTCGGAGATATCGGGGGGGGGAGCACCCAGGCAACGGTCGCCCGGCAAAGAATTGGGTGTTGCGCTTGAAGGACTACGTCGTAGAATTCAGTGCCAATGCCGAATCTACGGATGTCGACCTGAGGACGTTCGGCTTCCGCGTGGCTGCTGGCCTATCGCAGCGAAGGTGAAAAGCGGTTGCCGTGGTACAAAGGGGTGGTAGAGGGAGCGGAGACGTGCATGGTCAAATGACACAAGGAGCAAGTCAAGCCAAGCAGGCTACGCGCGGAGAAACAGAACAAGAAAAACACCGAACAGAAGACAGGCGACCAGGGGGGGCAGGGGCCCACGGGCGGCGGGGGGACGTCGAAATATAGGGCACACCACTGCAGCCGAGGAGAGCAGAACGGAGATGGCTGAACGGATAGAGAGAGATGTTCTGGACTGATGATGATGGAGGCGATGGCTGGTAGGACGTATCCCTATATTTTCGGTCGTATCGCTACCCCCCCACCCCCTCTGCAGTGCCCCCGATGATGTGATTTTGTTGTCGTCGTAACTCTTTCATGTGTTTGGTGTCGCGTAAGTATTGGCCTTCTTCGTTGTTCCGGTGGAGCGGTGGAGGAGACCTGTCTATTTTCCACTTTCTTTTCTTTCTTTGATTCATCCCTTTTTGACCGGCGTCGATTGTATCCCGGTTAGTTTTCTTCTGCGTTTGGGAAAAAAGACGCGTCTTGGAGGACTCTTCTGGGGTCCATTTAACTTGATTTATATGCAGAAAGGTGTGCCCCGTGTTGGGCGTAGTTGGCTTGTGACCACGGAAGGCGTCGTCCGCATCAGTTGGGCCACCACGGACATTGGAAGGTACTGAACGGAGACGGGAACGTTTTTTAACGTGAAGACATCAAGTATGCCGCATTTCTTAGGATCGATTCCACGACATCTTCAAACGAGGTATCTATTCGCCATGGAAATATGGCCGGGTATGCCCCGACCGTCACCCCGCGTGTCCACGTAAGATGTGGCATAACCAAACCCACACGCACGCAATATCCACTACTCTGAAGATGTTTCGGATTCTTCCATTGCGTGTTTCGGATTCTTCTGCCGCTGCTGTTGAGAAGGCTGAAAGGCGAGTTCCCTCACACGGCTTGCGGACTGGAGTCTCTCAGCAACCGCTTGAAGATGGATGTCGTGTACAAGTTCGTCGGAAACGCCAAGAATCCCGGGGAGGTGACGCAGGTGAGCCCAAAAGGACACGTGCTTGAAACGGCAACTCGGTTACGACCATGGCAGACATAGAGAGTGGTCCGTCCTCACAATAGAGGCAGCAGATACCACGCCACGATGGCGTTATTTTGTTGCCATTCGATGACACTACCGGACGGTGTGATTGGGGGTCGTGTGGTTAGTGTCCCACGTATGTCAACGCGTTCTAACACAGCCCAGCTACCAGGGGACACGATAGCGAACGAGTTGTGGGAAATGGGGGGACGTCTCTGCGGGTAAGATGAGTCGTTGCTGTCGCACTCTCCCCCCGGGCTGTGACATGTTAACGCCTGTGCATTCAAGCGGGGGGTGATACCGTAGGCTGCATAGGGCATAACACTCCCTGGACTGATTATCAACGCTCGAATATCTGGTGGTGTTAGAACGATGTTGTTGAGAGCCTTCCGGAGACGTATCATTTGAATTTGGGGATCTCCTTCGTCGTGAAGCATGGAGAATTTAAAACTCGGTTCAGGGGGTGTGATATCTTACCGTAAATGACACAACATAACACACCCCCTGGACCGATTTTTCGAATCTCGATTTCTTGACAGCAGAAAGAGTTTCAGCGCGGAAAACGGGGAAGTTGAAACTGTCTGGTCTAGAGCTTTCCGAAAATGCGTTGTTTCATGTATGCATCCTCTTCGTTGTCGCATAATCGGGTTGAAAATTGGTCCAGGGGGTGTGTTATCTTGTGCCATATACGGTAAACTTCAACATTACGGTACTCTGAGGGCAACAAAGTGTTTATGCGAAAGCGCTCTCTCTTGAGGCGTGTGTGAGATCACAAGGGGGGTGAAACCTCTCGTGCAGACTGTTGCTGATGGCAAGGCGTGGCATTACCACCTGGCGGTGCCTGTACGAATTTTTCCTGCGCAGACGAAAGACAGCGCAAGTACGGCACATGCATGCATTCGAAAGAAGCATTTTTTGTTTGTTTCCTCTGCTACGTTGCACCCTGTGATGGAACGAGACAGGTAATGGTAAAAGCTTATCACTCGCGGAACCTATGACGCATTGATCCACCTGGTAGACCAAAGCATGTTGGACGGTCAGAACTAAATAGATTCCCGACACCAGCGGAGCTACTCTTTCGTGCAAACGAAGAAGAAACACACAAGGGACAAGATAGACTGCCACAAACATGGACAAGAATAGCGATGGCGAATGGTCCATGTTGGTTCGAACCGCGGGCGTTCTTGACGCGACCGTACAATGTTGGCCTCCATGGCGGTGGAACTCAGATGGCAGAGGGGGTACGGTGTTCACGTTGTCACCCTTGTCAAACGTGACGTGATTCATCGGGCCCCCATTGTATTACGGCATTTGAGGATGTGGGGAAAAGATCTTATGTCACCCGTGTGTGAAAAATCGGCGGTAGTCTGAAAGAGGGTCGTATTACACGTGCGTTTGATATCTTTGTCACTTACGACCCCCCCGCTGTCACTTACGGAACCCCCCTCATGCTCTCAGACGACGCTGCAAGGCCTGCGTGACGAGGAGCACTATGTTTTCGTGGTGGCCACTTGCGACTTCGTGTGCCTCGAGGCCCTGCTTCGCATGCAGTGCAGCCGATCGCTTGGCTCGGTCCACTCTCCCTGCAAGCCTCAGGTGAGCTGGCGGCGACTAGCGACGGCCGGGAGAGGACTCGTTGAATTCGGTTCCTCACAACTGCTTGGTACAAATCATCGCCATGCATTACCTCTCACAGAATCCGGAGGTAGTTTGCGCCGTCCTTCCAGGTGCAAGAGGGAAGAAGGACTGCGCGGATATTCCGCTTACGCTGGAGCCGTCGCATTGCAAGCTACAAGAAAGACCGCCATCCCGACCACAATAGTTGCGGCCGCGCAACACAAACCAATTGACAATGAAATCAGCGCGCGTGGCCTAACGCTGCCCGTCCATGTTGACCTCTCTTAACACCAAGCTCCCCTCCCCCTCCCCGACAATCGCTTCCACAGAACGTTGTGTTCCCTGCGGCACACCTCATAGCATCAAAGTCGGATCTCACCCCCACCACCACAGGGGACACTGGCAGCGGCGGCGGTAGCAGCAGCCGCTCGGAAACCACGCGGTCTCCGGTTTTCTTGATGGTAGCGCTGCTTGCCGTCGTCGGCGGGGTCTTGTACGCGCTCAACCGCCAACCCGCCGGCAGGGGTAGCAGCACTAGCTACGCACCGGCACAGAGCGGTGGTATCAGGTGGCTAGGCGGCTGGGGCGCGAGTAGTGGGGGTGGGCGTGCGGCGGGGTTCGAGCTCACCGATCTGCAAAGACGGGGTCGAGGGGACAACGGCCTTGGAGAATTCTTGATCGGGGATGGGAGGGGAAGAGGTGACGCGGAATCGGGCCCGGCGTACGCCAGCCTCCTGCCCGGACAGGGCCGGTGAAGCTGGGGGAGGGGTGAGCGTTGAAGGAGTTTCGTTTGTCTCTCCTCCCATCTGTGTTTGCGCGTCCACCCTCCGTCGATCGGTGTGTCTCAAGCGGCAGCAATCTCGTACGCAGGGCGCACGTGTGTATAGTTAACCTCACCCTCTCATTTTGATCTGTGCTGCGGAGGGGTGTGCCGCCATTTGTCGATATGTGTCGGAGCTGTGTTTTTTCGCCCGTCCTCCTCAGGGACGGTGCTGTACTCTAAACGAATGGGAACCGCGCCAAGAACAGCCTCGCTTCCCGTGAAGACGGTTTGGTACATATCCTGGACTTGAACAGTGTAGTGCACGTTTAGGAATATACATGTTGAACATGGATGGACGAGGGGAGATGTACGAACACGGATCGTGCGGCCGGCCTTAAGAAAATTCGCTTATGATTGATACGAGGTGCACCGGAAGGCTTGTTTGCGTTTCTTCTCGTGTGTACGGGCTCGAGCTGGGATGTTGAACTCCGAGTCTCGGAAGGCGACAGCGGAAGCCGCTTACTCCGTCTGCAGGTTAAGTAGTACAGCACCACAGACAGTACTGGGGAGCAGCATTGCATCATCTCCTGTTCTTGAACAGGCACGCCCGGCCTGCCGGTCCACTTTTTTCTTCCCCCTCGCGGAGAAGGCTTCAAAGAACGAACGCACTGAGAAATGCATACCGCCATGGTACCCAAACGTCTTGAATTGGATATTGCGGTTGGACCTATCCTCCGCCAGGAGAGTTTTGCCCTTGTGTCCGGCGAGGGGAGCTCCTGAAAATGATCCCTGGGGGAAGAGATTTCACGGGTCATGCTGTCGCTGGAAGAAAAACAATTTAGCGGTTGATGCGTGCGGCGGTCGCGAGGATTGTATTCTGGGGATGACGGCTAAGTTTGTCGTCGGTAAACGCAAAACAGTCGTTTATTTTGTGTGGAAGGTTGTTTGTTGTTTGTAAAACTACCATGTCAAGAATTTTCATCGTTCTTGGAAACCGGGGTCACGAAGAATAGATCTCGCATTCTCCCTTCTAGCCACTTGTGGAGGAGAGCGCGTGGTTTGTCGTAGACGTGGGTCGTTGCGCCGGTGAGCACGAGAGGGGACTACGGAGCACGTGGCCACGCCGAAAGATGGAGGCCCTAGCAAACATAGGGGGCCACAATGTATATCTGCCGGCCCACTCATACCTTTTCTTTCGAAGGTGGGGATTCCGAAAAGGTCACGAGAGTTTCTTTGGCTTTTGGTTGGTTTCTGTTATTTTGGTGATGTGATGATGTAGTTGAATGATCGAGTACAACTTTGGGTCTTGATCATTCCAGACCCCTGCGAGCAGTAGCAGTTGTCGCATTTCCACGGCTGGATACAGCTGACTTGCGAGTAGAGAGAAACAGTGTTGAGGGGAGACAGGCGCGAGAAGTGCGTTTCTAACACTGACTCCTACGCCCCCCCCCCCCCCCCCCCCCCCCCCC